GCACAATTGGTGGCTGACTAAATACTTTTTTGCCCCACTGTATGTTCCTTTAAAAAAGAAGCCACATTTTGGCTGCTGTTCCATTTTGGCCTTAAAGAAGAATTGTAGACAAAACTATTTCTTCGTTTTGGAAAGAGCAAGGGAGGGTTATAACCCATGTCTGATATTTTTTTTGTCTGTCTCCCTTGCGGAGATTTCCCTTCACTTTCTGTCCCATCGGCAAACAGGAAGTAGGAAGAAATTCCTGCAAATTATGGGAATTCCTTAGGGACCCCCCCTAATCACCAGAACTTGTGTACCCATTGGAAGATTTCCCCCCTATTAGTTTTCTGGGACCACCCCAAAATGTGGGATTTTCTTTTACTTTCACTGATAATGGGGGCACAGACAGCAATTTAAATCTAGCACTCGTGCAGATGAGAGCTACATATTAATTAGATCTGACACAGACACAAGCAGGCAGAGCATTCAAAGACTCGTCATGCAGCTGGAAGATGTGTCTTTTATTACACTAGCAATACTTGCTTGTCTCTTTAGCAAATAGGGAAAAGCTAGGTGAATGAATAGGGAGATTGATCAGTTATCTCCCTATAAATTGCAGGCACAACATGTGTGCCCATCATTACAAAAAAAGGCAAACAAACACAGGGAACATAATAACAGTAACACCGTTTAAAACAGGCAAAACATTTCAAGTTTGAAATACCCTTAACTAAAAATATCAACACTATTGTTGCAAATTGTTGAAACAAATAACATTAGCAGATGAAATCTAGAATTGCTATCTTTGGATGTAAAGAAGCCTGCAAGGTGCAAAAAATGGGTCTCCTGAACCTGGGGCTGAATTTTAGGCTAATGATTTTTCCCTGCACCAAGGTCTTATAGCTTCAAGTTAGGAGTCTGTGGATAATACAAAAATACAGAGAAAGAGATAGGCTTCTACATGCTGTGTGCTGCTCCTGTAGACGTTCTTCTAAACTCCATTATTGATATGCAAACATAAAAAATGGAATGGTCTGTCTCGTATATAAGTGTGATATATTCTTGATCATACATCAGACTGTAAATATCCCAGCTGCGTGCTAACTGTGAAGCCTTGCCTTTAGCACGCACAGGGGGCCCCTAACTGCTTCTAGCTTATCACATGAATAGCCTGTCATATCTGTGCTACTGGTATAATGAATCTCTCCCCATGGTTCTAATGGTTTACTTGTGATAGGTTTCCTTACAGAGTCAATTCACCCAAAATGCATGTTTCAGTAAATGCAGGGCCGTTAAAGGTATGCCTTAGGCATAACTGAGAATGAAGCCTTGAGATGCATATAGGATACACAGACTGTCTTGCTTAGGCTTCTTTTTGTTTTTAACCTGAATAGCTTAGAAACCTTTTTGATCAATTGTTTGTAATGCAGAAGAGGTATTTTTAAACAGCCCCTGTAGGCTTCTCAGTGTTTTTATGCTAAATGCATAAAGGCATCAGTATAAAGACATTTCTTACAGCCACCAGTCAGGTTCAATCCTCCCTTGAAGTCTAAGGCTAGCGATACATCACACAAACAGAGAAAGGGGAAATTACTCAAACACTTCTGATAGCCCAACCAACCAACCAACCTGACATTTGAGTTACTCTCTGGATTTTGGTTGTAATGAATTACATAGATCTCAGAAAAAAGAAAACCAAATGAACTTGGGCCCACAGTTATGGTGCTTCTTGGAGAGCATTAAATAGCTGTTTTGATTCCAGTTGCTGCTTGAAAATTTTCTATAGCTGTCAGCAGTTTTTTTTTGTATTGATAAAGTCACATTTCAATGTCCTGAGTTGTACCCAAATGCTTAGTTGGGCAAAGATTGCCTCCGGTTCACAGCTTGCCTGTCTTCTCTAGCATTTTTCTACTGGCCTGTTGGTAGCCCATCATAGTTATGGGCCAGTAGGAATGTATAGGAGTGGGGAGAGTAGGTAGGTAAGAAAGGAACTGCTTAGTATTGAAATAGAACAAGGATGCTAAAATGTGCAGCAGGAATGTACCTATCCTCCATACCAGTTATCCCCAAACTTCAGCCCTTTGCTTGCCTTTATCTGGCCATTGGGGCACTATTCTTTCTTCCTATTGATACAAAGAACTATTCCTCCCATTGATATGTTACACTATTCTTGCCACTGACACCAACAAATAAGGCACCATTCCATCCACTGACATCAAAGATGGGGAATTCCTCCCACTGACCACCAGCCTCAGGTCCTGTTTACTTACTGTTGGGGCAGAAACTCTGAAGGACAGTAAACAGGCCCTTGTTTTAAAAAGTTTGGAGACACCTGCTCTATACATTTCAGCACCTTGGTATTTTTTGCTAGGTTAGAATAACCTTGCAAATTGTAAGGATAGAGAGGGAGAGGGGAGCGAGAGGGAGAAAAGGGGGGGGGGGTGGAGAAAAGAGAGAGGAGAGAGAGGGGGAGAGAGAGAGGAGAGGAGAGAAAGAGGGAGAGAGAGAAAGAGGGAGAGGGAGAAGAGAGAGAGAGGGAGAAGGAGAGAGAGAGAGAAAGGGAGAAGAGAGAGACAGGAGAAAGGGAGAAGAGAGAGAGAGAGAGGGAGGGAGAGAGGGAGGGAGAGAGAGAGAGAGAGAGAGATGAGGGGGAGAAAGATGAGGGGAGAGAAAGATGAGGGGGAGAAAGATGAGGGGGAGAAAGATGAGTGGGAGAAAGATGAGGGGGAGAAAGATGAGGGGGAGAAAGATGAGTGGGAGAAAGATGAGGGGGGGAGAAAGATGAGGGAGAGAAAGAATGAGGGAGAGAAAGATGAGGGAGAGAGAGAGGGATGGAGATAAAGTGTGAGGGGGAGAGGGAGAGAAATGAGATAGGGGATGGGAGAGGGGGGAGGGGTGGAGAATGGGGGGGAGGGGGGAGAAGGGGTAAGAAAGGGGGGGATGGGGGGGGGAAAGAAGGGGTGGAGAAAGGGGGGGAGGGGGGAGAAGGGGTGGAGAAAGGGGGGGGAGGGGGGAAAAGGGGGGAGAAGGGGGGAGCAAGGGGAGAAGGGGGGGGAGAAGGGGGGGGAAGGGGGGAAAGGGGGGGGGGAAAGGGAGGGGGAAAGAGGGGGGAGAGGGGAGGGGGGAAGAGAGGGCCGAGAGAGAGGAGGGTGGAAAAGGGGAAAAAGAAGGGCCGAGAGAGAGAGAGGATGGGAAGAAAGAGGGAAAGAGAGAAAGATAGAAAAAGAGAAGATGAAAAGGATACTAAAGCTCCACTTGTGAGCTCTAAAATAGAATGCAACATAATCATTTCAACATTACATATTTAAATGGTTATAAAGAGACATTTTTTAAATGTTCCTTTTCTTAATTGAAAAGAAATAAAAAAAAGTTACCTACAAAAGCACTACACATTCCCTTTAAGAACCTACATTTTTTTTTTTACATCAACAATTTACCTTTTAACTTTTGGCTGTGAATACGCATTCTTTGCAAATGGAGATTAATTGGAACAAATTCTAGACTCTTTTCTCCTTTAGTACAGCTGGATTTGAAAGAAGACCCTGGGGAAAAAAACTGGAATTAAAAACTGTAAGAAGCACCATGTTCTGCAGCAAGCAGATGGTAATTTTCCATTTTTTTCCCTTTAAGCCTGTGCGGGGTGCATGCATTGTATCTTTCCAGTTCATCTTTCTATTTTAATGTGCACTTGATTTTTAAGAAATGAAAAGATTTTTTTTTATTGCTGCATCCCAGCATGCACCTTCTCAGTAATCTACAGAGCAGTATTTAATGTGCAGATATGCTAATGCATTTTAAGTGACAGACATCCCCTGCTGTCTTCAACAGGGGCTCAGCATGGTGAAAAAAATGATGGTACATTTATCACACATTATGTTTTGGCTGCTCTTAAAAATATAGCATAAAGCCAAAAGCTGAAGTACAGCTCATTTTTATTGACTTGTCAAAATAAGAATAATGAATGCAAGGACCTTGCTTCAATATTTCACTCCTTGGTGTACTATCTTGTTCCTAGTAACTTTTTATGTTATTTTGCAGTGTGGCATTTGCGCAAAAAGGTTTTTTTTTTAGGGACATTTCTCAGTAATAAAAGAATGCCAATGCTGCTTCAGGAAGCCTGCCAAGAGTCCACTAAGTCCACTAGAAAGAGTGGCATGCTTTCAGCTGTAGTCCATGCACCCAGAGGGTACTAGTATTATTAGCATATACAGTCAATGCAAACACAAGATAATGCCTTTTTAGTAAACGCATTCCCCTGATGTCAGTTGTTTTGAGCAATATAACAAGAAATAATCCCTTTTGAATGCTTACTTCACTATGCTGTCTATTGGCAGCCATACTAACCATAAAGAATCCTAAGGGTCTTAAATGTATGCTCATCTAGTTGGATTGCTGATAAACAATACAAAAAGACAATGAGACTGGTACTATAACCACCGAAAAACAAGTGTTCTCTGTGCTTGAGTCTTTATTTTTGATCATCTGAATTTAAGAAAACATGCTATTGTAAAAGCTGGCTGAGATTATTTCTTTAATTTATAATGTTACTGAAAATCTTCAGTATTATTCAAGTAACGAGAAAACAAAGTGAGCATGCAATTAAAAAAATATTAGAAACATACCATAATAAAAAACTCATTGTTTGCGCGACTTCAGGGCAGCGGTAATTTTTGAATGTTTAAACAGCACTAACTTATAACATCCAATCAGAAATCAATATCTTTTGGCCATAGATGGGTACAAGCCTTTCTAAGGACATCAGATAGAGAAGAGCAGTGCAAGAATGGTGAGCATCTCTCCTTTCCTCTTACAGACAATGAATGGATCGCAAAGCAAACTCTGGGAAGGGGGGGAAAGTAGGGAGAAAGTGTGGGCTATCCTCTCTCTCCCCCTTCTCTTATACATCCTTGATGCTGATTACTGGATATGCAGTAGCTTTAACCGCTTCTCGACCCGCCCTATAGCAGAAATACTGCTACAGGGCGGCACGGGTGCGCAAAATCACGTATATATGCGCGATTTTGCATTTCCGGGTAGGGGGCGTGCACCGTACTCATGCCGCCATACGCGGCCGTGGCTGTCAATCACCGGGTCCCAGCCGATGATTACTCACTGGCACCCAGTGATTACCGAGGACCTCCAATGGGGAGGATAACTGCTTTTTGTCTACTAACAATTCTCCTCCCTGTCAGCTTGGGCACACTGCTTCAGATGGCTGTGCACAGCACAGCCATCCAAAGCAGTGTGCTTACAGTGAAGCATACAGACACCACCTCACAGTAAAAGACACCCAGCACACAGTTAACCCTTTGATCGCCACTCATGTTAACCGCCTTCCTGCCCAGTGCCATTACTACAATGTCAGTGCTTTTTTTTAGCACTGATCACTGTATTGGTGTCACTGGGGATGTCAGTGACACCAAGTCAGTTCCCCCCCAGTGTCAAAATGTCTGCCGCATTTCCTGCTATAAGTCGCTGATCACCGCCATTACTAGTAAAAATAAAAAAAATCCCAGTATACATACCGCCATTTGTAAACGCTATAACTTTCACATAAAACAATTAATTTACACGTATTGGGATTTTTTTTTTAGCAAAGACATGTAACAGAATACATTTTGGCCTAAATTTATTACATTTGATTTTTTTAATTTTTTTTACTTGATATGTTTAATAGCAAAAAGACAAAAATATTGTTTCTTTCTCAAAATTGTCGGTCTTTTTTTTATAGCGCAAAAAATTAAAAATGCAAGGCAATCAAATACCACCAAAAGAAAGCTCAATTCATGTGTGAAAAAAAGGACATAAATTTCATTTGGGTGCAGCATTGCATGACCGCGCAATTGTCAGTTAAAGTAAAGCAGCGCCGTAATGCCAAAAATGGCCTGGTCAGGAAGGGGGGTAAATCCTCAGGAGGGCAAGTGGTTAAAGTAATCACAGGCTCCCTATCCTCTGTCCTTCCTCACCATATTTTAACAACATGTTTATTTGTGTTTTTTCTAGCTTTTTATCATGGGGTAATAGACTGTGTGCTTACTTTTAACCCCTGCACTCTGTGTGTAACTTGCTCCTAACCTCTGCACTATGTGCCCCTACCTACTCCTGACCCCTGCACTCCATATGTTACACACTCCTGCCCCCCCCCCCCCCCCCCACACACACACACACTCTGCATTATGCACACAGCAGGGTAGACTCCATGTGCAATAAAGAAAGGCTTTCAGTGCCAGAGATACTTAGCATTAGTCCCTTGGGGAATCCCTAAATTGCCTAAGTATTGCTTTGGGACAGAATAACATTGGTTTTATTAAGGTTTTTATTTAGCTAGTGTTGAAAATTTAGATTTAGCTACAAGTTACTTTACAACACTACTTTGTGAACCATGTCATTAAACAGTGATCACAGGGCAAACTTCTCTTATGAGTACTAAACTAACTTAAACAACAGTCTACTTGTATACCTCAACCACACCTTACACGAAAAAGATGAATGCATACAGAATTAGTATTACAAAGAAATAGCATTGTACCTGTATATTTTTCTAGCTCTGCAAGGCTTTCCTTGTAGATGGAAACCATCTCTTCATAATGAGTTATAACGTTTTGCCGCAGGTTGTCCCAATGTGGAGAGAGATCACCAAGTTCTTTTAGTTCTTCGACTCTGGTGAAAAAAAAATTAAAAAAACACCAACGATGAAGTTTTTTTTTTCAAGCTGCAGCTTCTACATTAAGAAACATTAACCTACAAAAAGCAACTGCCTGTCTAAGGCTCTGATGCCAAACCAGCAGCCTAAGAGGTCTTCTGCCCTACCAGACAGGGGTGTCTATGGTGCCAGTGCTATGTAAATTTCAGAACTGGATGAACAGAAATACAAATCCTATGGCAGAAATGATTACATTGACATTGGTTCCTGGATTACACGAGAATGTATATCTGTAACTGAGCAGTCACAACCGTGATGTGATGGTTGGAGCTAAATTCTGGATGAGTTTTGAATGATAGCTGGGGTCCATCAAGTTGATTTACAGTGTCAGTACGGGGACCAAAAGCACAGTTAGACCAAACATAGTATTATGTGAGGTCATATTGCTGGAGGTGAGCAGACATCTGGTGGTGGAGTATTTGCATACGGAAGGATGGAAGCATTTCAATGAAGATAAATTAACTTATTTATACTCATATTTTATTGATTTAATGTTGTAATTTATTACTGTAATGTAGCGCTTCACTGATCACTGTATTTATAAGAGTTACATACTACCCTTATGTACGTATTGTACAGGAGCCAGAAGTCAGTAATGTACCTGTCTAGGTCCCTACTCAGACCAGTGAAAGAAAAATATTAGACTGTTTCTGCTGGGGGTGCTCTTCTGGATGCAGCGTGTATATGAACAAGTGACAGGTCTATCTATTAAAGGATAAGTTCACCGTTTAAACGAAAAATAATAAATGTACATTTTTTGGCAGGTAAAAAAAATGTGCATTTATTATTTTTTTTGTTTATGGAGCCTCTTAAGCATTGCACCAGCGATCAGCAGATCACTGGTGCCATGCAAGTCTCCCCCTGAGCTGTCAGTATATTTGGTTGCTTGTACATCCCGTATGATCAAGCAGATACTACTGACAGGAAGGCTCAATTAACTACCACACCACTGTGGGGCATCGTGGCAATTCATTGAAAACTACAAGCTGACAGCCACAAAGGCTGCCGGGACCTGTAGTTTTCCCATTCACAGAATGCTGTAAACAAGTGATATGGAGCCAAACACAGCCAAGTTTTTTCAAAATTGTGACAGCTAGCGAAGAGGGAGAAGATCCCCCGCTAGCTGTCACAGCGGGCATCGGGGGGTGTGGGCCCGGTCAGATTGTAACATGTTACACCTTGAATATGGGTGTAAAATGGTCCAAAAGGTAAACTTATCCTTTAAGGGAACACTGGAAATTGACCCTTCTCTCTCTACTTCTGGAGGAGTGGAGTAAGGCCTTCTCCACTTTTTTTTCTTACTGCAGTTTGAACAATAATAGCTAGACACGAGAGATACATTAACCCTCCTATCAAGGAATGGATTATTGAAACAACCTATTTAAAATGCATTGGAGAACTGATGGCTTAGAGTTTCTGGATACACTACATGAGGACTGACTGCTTTAGGAACCAGCTCCGATCCTATGGACTTCTCCATCTATGACTTACATGTCAAGGTTGCCTCTTTTCAGTGGTTCTCCTAACCCCACTTTTTTCATGTTCCTCTTCATTTAATGCCACCCACCTTTACTTTCTAATACTATCCTATCCCAACACATTTGCATTTCGGGTTGTTGAAACTTTATCTTGATGAACACTCTTTGGTCAGTAATTGGCGGTGACCACCCTTACAGTGTGTTCTACTTCTATATTGTCTTTTTTGTTAAAATGCTCAACAAACTTTTAGTACTATTAGGTTAACCAAAAATGACTTACTTTTGTAATATTTCTAGTCTCTTACAATCTCCTGCAGCAAGTCGCAGTCTCTAAACACTCTTAAAGCATTTCTGCCATCTGAGCCCCTTCTGCAGCATACCCAAAGTCCTGTAGTATATCCACATTCTCTGACAGTCTTCTGAACAAGTATGTTAAATAATATGTGTAATCTTAGGTGATGTCATGGACCACACTTGAGGCCCCTTATACTGAATAGACTGACCATCAATGGTGAAATAGCAGATCTCTTTTTTACCCAGCTAGGTGAAAGTAAAGAAAAATGTAATTATCATAGCTGAAAGATTAAGTAAAATATTTAGCTGTCCAGTGCTAAACATCTGGATCATTCAGGTTTTCATATGTTTGCTCTGGCATTTTTCATGTGTTACAGTCATGTTAAAAGTGCCAGTAGATGCAGGTATTCTGATTCCTGCTGTGCTGGAATCAAGTCAATAGTTTTAATATACAAATCTTGAAACTCAGCAGTTTCAATGGCAGAAACACATGCAGTGTATGAGCAACATAATAAACTCATTTGGAATTGCCAAGGGATTGAGTTTAAAACCTTGATATACACGTGAATCTCTAACTTGTATTAAAGCTGCATTAAAAAAAATGTGCCAGGGGCTATAAAGAAATACTTGCTTTGATAAATATGAGACCTTTACAGTTTAGAAGCCACATAAAACAAAATATCTTATTTGACCGACATGTTAGCCCCATAGCAATTATCCAAGCTTGTCAAACACCTGATAAGTGCATTGCATGCCAGAATATTTGTTTTTTGCATTAACCTGCTCTATATGTATCACAACAATGTTGCAATGTATTCTCCGAGTACAGCCAGATCACAGGACCCATGACAGAGACTACTAATGTTAGTGCCATAGGGATTTTGGAAGTCTAACAACCAACTTGCAGTATATGTTTCAAGTAACCTGTGCTGAACATTTTCAAAGGCCTAAGGAGCAGCATGATGACCTCTTTTTTGAAAGAGGTCCAAGCTCTCCTAACCTCTCTTGGTAATTTAATAATGCTCACATTCAACCTTCACAGCTGGCATTCCTTAGAACACATCAAAAACTACAGGCAAAATTCTTATCAAATCTTTCTTTGATTCCAATATTGAAATTGTACAGATGGCTATAGCATTTTCAAAATGGACACTACCATTTTCATGAATAGGACTTTTTTGTAGTAAGGTTGGAAAAAAACAGAGTGTCATCTTACGAACTACAAAAAATTATTATGGAAAATGCTCCAAGGCATTGAGCAATTGCCTTATTCAACACAACAGTACATAGTATCCAAAACAACCAATTAATATCCAATTTGTGCCGGTCTGGCTTCAGTAAAGTGAGCATTATTGGTTGTTAGGGGATGCTGCACTCATCCCCTTATACTGAATAAGCCTGCAGGTGTTTAATATTCAAATGAAGCAAAATAACAGACATGTAAGAAATAAGAGGTCTATTTTTTTATAACATTTCAAACATAACATATTACATTATCAGATAATGCAATTATAATGCAAATATTTATATCTTGTGACTTGTTCACACTGGTTATGCTACTCTGCATGCATTAAGGCGGCCAAAATGCAGTGCAATGGAGAGTCTAATTTAAATGGATCATGCTCATGTCGTATATACACTGCAGCTTTTCACATTGTCAAAAGTGGAACACTGATGAATACAGTACCCTACAAGTCCCATTCAAAACCTCAATTAAATCCTTTCAAACTACACAGAACATTTAAAAATTCATGGCAGCACACATTTCTGCATGCTTTATTGTGTGAATGATCCCTTAAATTGGGTTTTTGCACACCATTATTTATGTGTTGGCATTAACAATCAGTCTGTGTAGTGAACAGTGATAATTAGTGTCAGTAATACTCATTGCTTTCAGAAACTTTCCAACAGGTGGAGCACATGGATCTTTTGTATTTTTTAGATCTTGTTCTCTTTTCACCATAAAACAGGGAGGGTTTGTGGGATAGAGTTTTTA